CTCACGCTCGCTGTTGGGAGGCCTGTAGTACAGCCCCAACATTGTTACCGCACCCTTCCTATTTCTGAGCTCTGCCCATATTGCCTCAATGCTTGCGTCCCCCATAGTGCCCTCCTTCAGCACAGCTGTGATATCCTCTTTGACCAGTAATGCAACTCCTCCACCCTTTTTACCTCCCTCTCTATCCCGCCTAAAGCATCTATATCCTGGGATATTTAGTTGCCAATCTTGCCCTTCCCTCAACCAAGTCTCAGTCATAGCGATAACATCATACTCCCAGGTACTAATCCAAGCCCTAAGTTCATCTGCCTTAGCTACTACACTTCTCGCATTAAAACAAATGCATCTCAGACCACCTGGCCCTTTGCGTTCATCATCTGCTCTCTGCCTACTCTTCCCCTCAGTCACACTGACTTCATTATTTAGTTCCTTACAGACTTTAGTTACTACCTCCTTACTGCCCACTAACCTCCTCATTTGGTTCCCATCCCCCTGCCACATTAGTTTAAACCCTCCCCAACAGCGTTAGCAAAAGCAGCGTTCGTGTCCCTACCTTGAGCCAGGAGGCCCGGGTTCAAGTCTCACTCGCTCCAGAGGTGTGTAATCACATTTTTACACAGGTTGATTTGGAAAAATATCTACAATTCTTTAAGGGCTTGACACGGCGGAAGCTGAGAGATTCAGGGACAGTCTAGGATTCGGGGATCAGGATGAAGGATTAGATATTTTGGACTTAATTGAGCAGAAATCTCTTCATAGAGAGTTCTAAGTCTCCAGAATTTTCTACCCAAAAGACTTTGAACGTGGAAATTTTGTACTTTTAATGTGACCTCCTTTCATTCTACTGGATTCCAAGGAAAATAAGCCCATTCTACTCAGTCCCTCGTCATACGACAATATCCTCACCCCAGGATCCAATCCTTTCATCCTTGTGTGTCAAAGTTTCACCCCTGAAAGGTCCATCTTTAACTTTTTAACTAAACCCCCTCATCCTGGACTCCTCAACCAGCAGAAATAGTTTCTCAGTGTCATTCATTTCCCATTCATTTCTTGCAAACTTTGATTGAACCACCCTTTAAACTTCCACTTTTTGAGGGAAAACACCTTAGTTTGTGCAATTGATCTATGTAATTTAACCCAGGTATCCTTCAGATAAATCTTAAACCTCAATCCCTCGCAGGCCAATACGCCCTGCCTAATCTGTGGTACCCATAATGACTCCACGTTTGGTTTAACCATGGCCTTGTGTACCTGAAATGTGACTTCTATCCCAGTCCTTCAGATTTAAAGGCCAAAGATGTATTAGGCATTTTCATTAACTATTTGTGGAATTTAATTGCCCCTTTATTCCTCACCCCCGTAGCACTTTCTATGGTTCTCAAACCTTTTGTTATTCATAAGGTACTTATTGAGTGAATGACTTCAGCTTTGCCAACATTCAAATCCAGTTGCCTACAATTTTTCGCTCTTCTGTTGATCTATCGCTATCTCTTCACCATTCACAATGAGTCATTGTTCGTGCTATCTTGCTATTTGTTAGTATCTTCAATGCAGACAATGTTACTTTCCTCATGCCTTTCAATATGTAGCTTTGTGATAATAATCTCGGGATTTTAAACTCCTCCAGACAGGAGATCCTGTGGCACAGTGGTGTTGTCCCTACCTCTTTCCCAGGACAAAGTCGGAAGTCACACGACACCAGGTTATAGTCCAACAGATTTATTTGAGATCACAAGCTTTTGGAGCGCCGCTCCTTCGTCACCTCCGAGAACTTGTGATTTTAAATAAACCTGTTGCACTATAATCTGGTGGCCTGTGGGTTCTGACTTTGTCCACCCAAGTCCAACACCGGCACCTCCACATTATCTTTCCCAGGAGACCTAGGTTCAAGTCCCACCTGCTCCAAAGGTGTGTAATAACATCTCTGAACAGGTTGATTAAAAATATCTAGAATTCTCCAGATTTTAGATAGAAGTAGGTAGACTGGAAGAATCAAGCCTTTGCAAAGTCCTTGGGAAACCTGAGTTAAGCCCAGGAAAAGTAATTTGGTTTGGTTTAAAGGCAGTGAATAGAAAAGTTTTTGCGGGTTGTAGGTAATTTTTTGAACAGTAAAGGAATTAAGGATCATGGTGAGAGGGTCGGTAATTGGAGCTGAGGCCACAAAAAGATCAACCATGATCTTATTGAATGGCAGAGCAGGCTTGAGGAGCCAGATGGCCTATTCCTGGTTCTTATGTGCTTAAAAACAGGGAAGGGTGTGATCAAGAGGTAAAAATGTGGCACAAGAAAATGCGGTGGCAGAAAACTGGCCAACATGTGTTTGCCACCTGCTGCATTGAAGCAGAAAACATATGATTGGAAGGCCTGTCAAGTCAGCCTTTTTAATGGGGTGCAATTTCTCAAGGCATTTATCCTAGCTCTGAGCCCCCCCTCCCCTGGGGTTTAATCTCACACCTCATCGGGGGTGGGGAAGTTAGTGCTGACTTATTTTAGCAAATCTATTCCAGGCTAAATTAGTTCTGACGCCTAGTAAAATTCACTCTGTTGAAATTAATGAAGGTAAAACTCACAAGAGATGCATAATGGGAATGTGAATTAATATCACCCAAGGAGTCAATGGGCCTTTTCCAGAAGAACAATTTTCCAAAACTCTCCTTTGTTTGAAGCTGTGTCTTTAAGTCCTTCTCCAAAATTTCATTTAAAATAGATGTTCTGGGTTAATTTTTTCCATATTCCTTTATGCATCTCTATAAGATTATCCTGTAGATGCCTCTTATCAGCACTTGGTCTTCCACTTCCTTCATTTCGAAATAAAAAGTGTCCTGTTGTTGACTTGAAGGATGATTTACTCTGGTCCTCTCTTGTGATGTAGGATGTATCCTGTTGTACCTGGTAATGCTCGGCTTGCTGTGGAGAAGGGAGTGGTGGCTGGAGGATATTACTTCCCTAAAAACGTTAGTATTGCTTATAAAAGTTATGAAAAGCTGTTGCAGTGCAATTTACTTAAGAGCTCCCCCAATCTCCCTTGCATCCAGATACTCTCTCAGCTCCATACCTGAGAGTTCTGGATTACTTCTGCATTGAGTGGTCCTGGGTGTGTATGCAATCAGTACTGAGCTCTCCTAGTCCGTGTCTCAGGGAGGTAGCTGTTGCAGATCCCCCTGTACAGACACCAAAAAAGAATGTTGTCTCCCAGCCCATCTTTAAGGGGAAATCTGTACAAAGACTAATTTCTCAGATCCTCACTTTCAACAAGATACCTGCATAAAGACTGGTGTCTCTCAATTGCTTACTCAAGGAGATATCTGTACATTGTAATCTCTCTAGTCCTCTTGTTCAGGGAGATGTCTATATGAAGACTTGTGTCTTGCAAACTCTCTTGCTCAAAGAGATATCTATACAAAGATTAATCTCTCAGATCCTCACCTTCAGGGAGATATCTTTTTTAAATTCGCTCACAACACATGGACGTTGCTGGTTCGGCCAGCATTTATTGCCCATCCCTAATTGCCCAGAGAGCAGTTAAGAGTCTGGAGTCCCATGTAGGCCAGACCAAGTAAGGATGGCAGTTTCCTTCCCTAAAGGACATTAGTGAAGCAGATGAGTATTTTTTTACCCCTGACAATCAGCAGTGGTTTCATGATTATCATTAGACCTTTAATGCCAGATTCGTTAGTGAATTCAAATCCCACTATCTGCCATGGATTTGAACCCAGGTCCCCAGAACAATAGTTGAATTTCCTGAATTAATAGTCTAGTGATAATACCACCAGGCCATTGCCTCCCCCAAACTGCATAAAGATTTCCATCTCTCAATCCTTCCCTCAGAAAGCGACCTTTGCAGTGTAATCTCTCAAACCCTCCCTTTCAGGGACTTGTGTTTCACAGACCCTCTTGATCACAGAAGTATTTGTGTAAGGCCTGTGATTCTCAGGGAGATATCTGTACATTGCAATCTCTCAGACTGTCTCACCCAGGGAGATAAGTGTACGTTGACTGATATCTCTCATTTCTTGCTTTTGGAACTATTTGTGTGTCCAGAGACAGATTACAGTCACTGTTGATGATCAATCTGTACGTTGACTGATGTCTTTACATCCTCTGATGTTGAAGAAACATTCTGGATGTTCTCCGATGAGTGAATGGCTTTTCTTCTCACTGATCACATTCATTAAATCAGTAGAAAGCAATCCTTCCACTGTATGCAAAATGATTACAGTTCTCAAAGTTTAAAGCATTGTAAAAAAATGACAATAAAGTTCAATGATAATATCTTCTGTTCTAATTTACAATGAGTGAACAAATCTCTAGCATTCACTTTGGGGTTGAGTTAGATGGATAGCTGGTTTGCAATGTAGTGTGACACGAACAGTGTGGGTTCAATTCACACACCATGAATGACTCTCCTTCTCAACCTCTCCCCTCACCTGAGCTGGTGGTGACCCTCAGGTAAACCATCATCAATCGTCTCTCCCTAATGAAAGGGCAGCTCTATGGTCTGGTAGAGCTATGACAACTTTACCCTTTGCTATCAAAATTGAATAAGTTAAACTAATATCTTTTAAGTCATGTACTGGTGTAGGTTGCATTAATTATTCATCATTTCATGTCTTGTTTTTCCCATTTAATTATATTTCTGGGTCATTAGCTGATGTGTGAACCTTGCTATAACACACCAAGTGGAGGTATCCACTGAGATATGACCCATTGAAAAGGAACACAGTAGTTATATCTTAATATCATGCCAAAAATTAGTTACAACCAGTTATTACCGAATGGTAATAGGTAATCTGCTCAAACAGGGATGCAATTGTAACCAGCCTTTGAGAAAATCATTTTGCTGAATTCACTGAAAAGGTCTTTAGCATCTTGTACAACCTCAGGACATAGAAACATTGAAGATAGGAGCAGGAGGAGGCCATTCAGCCCTTCGAGCCTGCTCCACCATTCCTCACGATCATGGCTGATCATCCAACTCAATAGCCTAATCTTGCTTTCTCCCCAAAACCTTTGATCCCATTCGCCCCAAGTACTATATCTAGCTGCCTCTTGAATACATTCAATGTTTTGACATCAGCTGCTTCCTGCGGTAATGAATACCACAGCCTCATCACTCTTCAGGTGAAGAAATGTCTCATCTCCGTGCTAAATGGTCTACCCCGAATCCTCATACTGTGACCCCTGGTTCTGGACACACCCACCATTGGGAACATCCTCCCTGCATCTACCCTGTCCAGTCCTGTTAGAATTTTATAAGTCTCTCTGAGATCCCCCCTTCCTCATTCGTCTGAACTCTAGCCTAACCTAGTCAATCTCTTCTCATACGTCAGCCCCACCATCCCTGGAATCAGCCTGGTAAATCTTCGTTGCTCTCCCTTGAGACATCCTGAAGTACTTCACATTTTGTGAAGATGCTGGGGTTAAGTCCCATGCCAGATGTTTATATGTGTAATACGGGTTTGACAGTCTCAGTGCATTACTGAGGGAGTGGTGCATTGTCTAAGGTGACATTTATTGGATAAGGCATCAAAACAAGGCCCCATCCGTCCTCTTGGGCAGGGGTAAAAGATCACCTGGCAACTGGGAGAGGAGCAGGAGAGTGTTCCTGCCATGTCCTCATCTCAAATGGCATCACTTAAAGGTGTATTATTATCAGGCTTTTGCCATTGTGGGATCTTGCTGCCACACCTCCTGCAGTGCAACCGCGGCCACACTTTGAGAGTGCTTTGGGACTGGCCTGAGGCTTGTATAGGTACATTATTTGAAGTAATGATTGTAAATATTACAACGGATTGAGGGGTGATGTGTGGCTCTGAGTCTTGATGCGCCTGTAAGATGCGCTAACTGCTGCTCCCTCCACTGCAGACCCTCTTCCACCTGTGCCACTATGCCATTTCTCAGGAAGACAGCGAGTTCAGTCAGTCCAGGAGTTTTCAGCCAAGCCGTTGGCTTCGCGAGAAGGGAGAGGAGACGAAGAAGCACCATCCCTTTGCCTCTATTCCTTTTGGTTTTGGTACCCGTACCTGCCTGGGCAAGAGGGTGGCAGAGCTGGAGATGTTCAGTGTGATCTCACGGGTAGGTTGGAGTGAGCGAGCGCGAGGAGGGCAGATCTACCACACTGATGTTAGGTTTCAGTTAGAAGGGCTGCTTGTGTAGCATATTCCATTTCCTTGTTTTGAGAAGCTTAGGGGGTGTTCGTATTGAGGTGTTCAAGATGATTAAAGGAGTTGTTGGGGTCGATAGAGAAGAAGCTGCTTCCTCTGGTGCAGGAGAGAGGATGGGATCCACAACAAGGTACAGGACCTTAAAACAAGAGCTAAGTTGCTCATGGGGGAGGTGACACAAAAAACAGAGGATTTCTGCAATCTCTCTCCCTGTAAATGGTTCACATGTGCTCATACAGAGACGCATACACTCACACGGACGTACAGACGTACACAGATTCACACACACGCACAGTCTCACACACACACACAGACACAGATACACGCAGTCACATGCCCATATAATCATTTCAGACACACGCACACACAGACATGCAGACACAGACGCACATACAGTCTTTCTCTCACACACACGCACGCGCGCGCACACACACACACACGACAGGTACACACAACATACAGACACACACAAACATATACAGACTCATAAACACACACGTGCACAGTCACGCAGTCATACATGCACCCTCACCGTCACACACACAGACATACAGACTCACACAGAGACATACAGATACGCACAGACATACAGACTCACACACAGACATACAGACTCACATATAGACATAGAGTCAAGCAGAGACATACAGACGCACAGTCTCACACACACAGACATGCACAGTCACACACACAGACATACAGACTCAGAGACATACAGACACACACACAGACATACAGACACACACACAGACATACAGACTCACACACAGACATACAGACTCACACAGAGACACACACACAGACATACAGACTCACACAGACATACAGACACACACAGACATATAGACTCAAGCAGAGACATACAGACGCACACAGTCTCACGCACACAGACATACAGACACACGCACAAACACACACACAGACATACAGACTCACAGAGGATGGTGGTGATGAGGCATGGTTGGCCTGAGTTTAACAACTCATCAAAAAGGTGGCACCTCCAACAATGCAGCACTCCCTCGGTACCAGCACCGACTGCATCAGACGGAGGTTTGAAGATTTTGCATCTCACAGTTCAAGAACTACGCCTCAAACTGCAGAAAGATTAGTGGAACAGGTTAACACACTAAGTATCACACTGTGGATCATAAGATACAGCATTCCCTTTCTTCAATGAAGCTTCATCAGTGCCTGTCTTCACTTCGTCTTGCTAACTTTTTCGTTTTTCTCTTCTTCTCATCCCCACTTCAGTTAATCAAACACTTCGAAGTCAGGCCAGACCCCTCAGGGAAAGTGGTGACGGCGATGACGAGGACTCTGCTTTGTCCTGGAAGCCCCATCAATCTGCAGTTCATTGATAGAAAGTGACTGAGTAATTAAAGCTTGCCTGAAACGCTGTGCCCCCTTTCGCCGGGCCCACTGTCTTTCCCCAGCGTTGAGGACCCAGCCTTGGCCAAATTTGGAGAGGGGGTGTGATAAATTCCCACAAGGGATTTCTCTGCTCATTCCTGCCCTTCATGACTTTCCTAGAATCCTGTCCCAGTGAGAGTGGCCATTTGGATTGGTGTATTTTTGATACTGCTTTTCTGATCTGAGACTTAAATTGGCATCATAGCTGACCAGCAGTAGAACCTCGGTAATAAATTATAACCCCCTCCCAAACTTGTTCCAGCTGGAGGTGCCTCTCTTTCACGTCTGTAGTTTCTGCTTCAGCAATTAGAGTTTTTATGGGTTGAGGCGGTTCAAGGTTTGATGGAATTACAACATTCCCTCTCCCTCCCCACTGGCAACAGCTACATCAAGTGCAGGCAGTATCCCGTCTTGCTGAAAGAGCTGACAAATTTGCTGTAAAATCACCTTGTTATTCATTGCTGTCCTATATGGTCTGACCAAATATATTTGCACCCACTTGTTGAAGACCGATACTACCCCCTTTCTCAGTCTGGTAGGGATCCTTTCGGCTCTAGACGTCACCTGACAAAGGGGCAGCTCTCTGAACGCTTGTGATTTCAAATAAACCTGTTGGACTATAAACTGGTGTGGTGTGACTTCTGATTTATAATAATAAGCATGTTGCCTAGCACCTTCCCACCCCTAAGCTACCACATTAGAAGGTGGGTGGGCCCTCAAATTAGCCTACTCTATGTGAATAAATCACCAAGGTCAATTGAACTTGTTAAAAGCTAAAGTGACCCCAATATTACCATCATAGAATCCCTACAGTGTGGAAACAGGCCCTTCGGCCCGACAAGTCCACATTGACCCTCACAGCATTCCACCCAGACCCATCCCCCTATAACCCACCTAAGCTACACCTCCCTGAACACTACTGGCAATTTAGCATGGCCAATTCACCTAGCCTGCACATCTTTAGGCTGTGGGAGGAAACCGGCGCACCTGGAGGAAACCCAAGCAGACATGGGGAGAATGTGCAAACTCCACACAGACATTCGCCCGAGGATGAAATTGAACCCGGGTCCTTGGTGCTGTGAGGTAGCAGTGCTAACCACTGAGCCACCGTGCCGCCCACCTCATTATACAGTTGGCATGGGCCATCAGGCAGAAGTGGGATTTGTCCTTTTCTCCTTTGAAGTGCTTAAACTGTTGGCAAACAGTGCCCTTTGTCCATCGGGGCCATTTCCGAGAGGATACAATGCCCCTTCACCACTTTCTTTCCCACTCACATATTCTTTAAAGACCACCCTCTACTCCATGGAGATTGGTTGCCAGCTAGCCAATCAACACCCAGTTTTCTTACCCCACGGTCATTTCCCACCCTAGGGCGCTTACTTGAGAAAGGATGTACTGGCACTGGAGGGGGTGCAAAGGAGGTTCACTAGGTTGATTCCGGAGTTGAGGGGGTTGGCTTATGAGGAGACACTGAGTAGATTGGGATTATATTCATTGGAATTCAGAAGATTGAGGGGGGATCTTATAGAAACATATGAAATTATGAAGGGAATAGATAAGATAGAAGTAGAGAGGATGTTTCCATGGCAGGTGAAGCTAGGACAAGAGGGCATAGCCTCAAGATTAGAGGGAGCAGATTTAGGACTGAATTGAGAAGGAAGTTCTTCACCCAGAGGGTTGTTAATCTATGGAATTCCTTGCCCAGTGAAGTAGTTGACGCTACTTCAGTAAACGTTTTTAAAGATAAGGTAGATATTTTTTTGAACAATAAAGGAATTAAGGGTTACGATGAGAACGCGGGTAAATGGATCTGAGTCCACGAAAAGATCAGCCACGATCTTATTGAATGGTGGAGCAGGCTCGAAGGGCTGGACGGCCTACTCCTGCTCCTAGTTCTTATGTTCTAAAGACATGATTGCCCTAGAGAGATTGCAACAAAAGTTGACTGGACTCATTGCCAGGTAGAGAGAGAGGCTTGTCCGTTGAAGAGTAATTGAGTAGATTGGACACATATTCCTTATGGAACATGCAAGAACGAGAGAGATTGCATTGAAAAACTCTTTGTGCTTGACAGGGTGGGCACCTGAGAAGCTGCTTACCCTTGCCAGGGGATTTGGAAGATACATAGTCTCAAATAAAGTGTCAAATGAAACTAGTTTAATTTGGGAAACTTGGTCAGCATGGATGAGTTAGACCGAAGGATCTGTTTCGGTATGATTCTATAACTGAGATGAAGAAGTTTGCAAAAGGAGAGTCAGATTGGACATGAAACATTAACACTGTTGTTCTCCACAGACATGCTGAGTTTCTCCAGCACTTGCTGTTTCTTATTTTAGAACTGAGATGTTATTTCTCCACTCGAAAGGCTTGCTAATCCTTGAATTCACTCTTCTTGAGAGATATGGAAGGTCATTCAAGACAGAGGTTGACATATTTTTGACTACCAGTGAAGGGAAATGAAAGATTTGAGGGTGGGGATTTAGGATTTAATTTAGGATATCTGGGGAACTAAGGACCAGCCTTTATTGGACAGTGCATTGATTAAAGGAGTTAGGATGTCATGTTCCAGCCGTACAGGACACTGGTTAGGCAACTTTTAGAATGCTGCATGCAATTCTGGTCTCTCTGCTATAGGAAAGATGTTGTGAAACTTGAAAGGGTTCAGAAAAGATTTACAAGGGTGTTGCCAGGTTTGGAGGGTTTGATATATAGGGAGAGGTTGAATAGACTGGGGCTCTTTTCTCTAGAGCTTGAGGCTGAGGGGTAACCTTATTTCCTTTTTCCTTTATTCATTCATGGGATGAGGGCATCACTGGCTAGGCAGCATTTATTGCCCATCGCTAACTTCCCAGAGGAGTGTTAAAGAGTTAACCACATTGCTGTGGGTCTGGAGTCACATGTGGTCCAAACCAGGTAACGATGGCAGTTTCCTTCCCTAAAGGGCATTAGTGAACCAGATGGGTTTTTCCCGACAATCAATTCATGGTCATTGTTAGATCCTTAATTCCAGATATTTATTGAATTTAAATTCTACCATCTGCCATGGTGGAATTTGAACCTGGGTCTCCAGAACATTATCTGGGCCTCTGGATTAACAGTACAGCGATAACATCACTAGGCCATCACCTCCCCTTACAGAAATTTATAAAATCATGAGGGGCATGGGATAGGATGAATAACCAAGGCCTTTTTCCCAGGGTAGGGTGTCCAAAACTAGGGGGCATAGATTGAAGGTGAGGGGGGAAAGATTTAAAAGGGACCAAAGAGACAACTTTTTCACACAGAGAGTGGTGCGTGTTTGGAATGAGCTGCCAGAGGAGGTGGTGGAGGCTGGTACAATTACAACATTTAAAAGGCATCTGGATGGGTGAATGAAAAGGAAGCGTTTAGAGGGATATGGACTATATGCTGGCAAATGGGACTAGATTAATTTAGGATATCTAGTCAACATGGCTAAGTTGGACCAAAGGGTCTGTTTCTGTCCTGTACATCTCAATGACGCATGACATTACTTAATGGCAATGTAGGTTTGAGGGGCTGAATAGCCTCCCTTACTCTTATTTCTGTCATTATTGGGTTGAGTTGGAAAAGGTGGGGGAGAGAACAAATGGAGGACTGGGCTACAGGCTGTGGTACTGGTGTCCAGAGTAAGAACAACCTTGGTATTTATGCAAATCATTCATAACTCAAGGAAATTGCAGGCAATGGTGTACTTTTTGTGAATCATTGAAAAGCTGGATAACTTCGACACAGTAATGTTTGGCACCAATCCAAGAGCAACCAGATTGTTTTACTGAG